ATATATTATAAAAAATAGCTTAGTTTATATATGTATATGATATAGTTTTGCTTATATATGCATATAATATAGTTTTGTTTATATATATAATAAAGTATAGTAAATATGTAGCTGCATGCGTCGTCTTGAAGCAGCAGGGAGGCAGCAACAGCAGCAGCAGCAGCATCAGTATCAGTAGCAGCAGCAACATCAGCAGCAGCAACATCAGCAGCAGCAGCAACATCAGCAGCAGCAGCAGCAGTATCAGTAGCAGCAGCAACATCAGCAGCAGCAGCAGTATCAGTAGCAGCAGCAACATCTGCAGCAGCAGCAGCAGCAGCAGCAAGACGTACAGGATCTAAATGACTGGTTACAAGGCCGTGCAGTTCGTTGACGTAAGCAATCTTCTGTCGCTGAGTCTACAAACAAAACGAAAAAAGAAATATATTTATTTATTACGTAGGCTTCACTGTCTTTTAAATGCTGCACTAATAATAATAATAATAATAATAATAATAATAATAGTATATATAATATATACTATATATATAGAGAGACAGAGATGCTTGTATACAGACATATACATCTATATAAATATATATGCATATATATATATATATGTACACATAAACATATATACATATATATAATATTTATAAATATAACATATATAATATTTATATATATAACATATATAATATTAATATTAATATTAATATTAATATTAATATTAATTGGGTTGACTGACGACTTCCGACTTGAGGAGTCGGTGAATGCGTTCGAAGGTTTGATCGATTAAATCTTTCAAAGTAGAGACGGCCGTCCAGACGAACTCGCGAGCCTGCAATAAAAATAATAAATAAATAAATAAATATATTAAAACAATTAGTTTAGCTGTTTATTAAATAGTCTAGAAGATATTAATCTGTACTAAGACTTTATTCTTCCAGCAGCAGCAACAACAGCAGCAGCAACAACAGCAACATCTGCAGCAGCAGCAGCAACATCTGCAGCAGCAGCAACAGCAGCAAAACTAGCAACATCACCAGCAGCAGCAACATCAGCAGCAGCAACAGCAGCAACAGCAGCAACAGCAGCAACAACAGCAGCAGGAGGAGGAGGATGAGTATAGAAGTAGCTTACAGCTAAAACTCTTCTTTTGCCTTGAATAAGAAGGCTATCAAGCTTAGCTTGTTGAATATTGATATCATTTGGGTCTGTAGCGAATACTTCGCCTCCTTTGTTTATTGTCTTCATTGCTTGACTTACACATTGCTGAGCTAAACCTGCTGAACGCAGCTGACTGCGAGCTATGACTCGCAATTTACAAATATCTGCATGCGCTGCTCGCAGCTGAGACGCCAGCAAACTGTTTATCCTGCTGCTGTTGCTGCAACAAACAAATATATATATATATATATATATATGTATATATGTAGATGAATATATATAGATGAATATATAGATATAGATATATATATAGGTGTATGTATAGATATAGATGCATATATAGACGTACATATATGTATAAATACAAATATACATATATATATATGCATATATATTTGTATATATATATATATACAAATATATATATATATATATACATATATATACAAATATATCTGCATGTGCTGCATGCAGCTGAGAGGCCAGCAATACTACTTTTACTACTACTGCTGCTGCTGTTGTTGCTCCTGCTGCTGCTGTTGCTGCTGCTGCTGCTGCTGCAGCGTTGAGCTTACTCCTTGGTTGCTGAGGGAGTGCATAGAGCTGCGCTTAGATCAGCGAGCTGCTGTCTAAGCTCTTGATTTTCATCTTCAAGTGCTTGCAGCTGCTCTGCCTGCTCTTTGCTGCTGCTGTCTTTTGAGTTAATAACAGCAGCAGCTCCTTGCTGCTGCCCTACCAATCGCGATACAGCTTCTAACTCTCTTCGCTGTGCATCCGTCTCTACCTGCAAACAGCAGCAAAAAGATTAACTATATATATTTATTTATTTGTTTGTTTGTTTGTCTGTGTTTATAAACAACACAAAAAACAACACACAACTAAATGCATCGCCATATACTGCTGCTGCTGCTGCTTCTGTTGCTGTTGCCGTTGTTGTTGCCGTTGTTGCTGCTGCTGCTGCTGCTGCTGCAACAGCCGCAGCAGCAGCAGCAGCTAAAGGCGTTGTTCTACACAAATACACCAAATAAAAATTCAGGCGTCCGCCGCGCATGCAGACAGTCAGAGCACAGCAGCGCAGATTGTGCTGCAGCAACAGCAAAAGCAGCAGCAGCAGCAGCATCAACAGCACTAGAAGCAGCAGCAAGAGCAGCAGCAGCTAAAGCAACGCTCCGCGGATCCACAGGCAGAATCAGCAGCAGGTGATGCAGCAAACACAAGAAGAACGTTACCAGCAGCAGCAGCAGTAACAGTAACAGCAGCAGCAGCAGCAGCAGCAGGAGCAGCAGGTTTGTTGCTGCTGCAGCTGAGTGCAGACACACCAGCAGCTCGTTTCTTTCTTTTAATAAATTTGCGTTTTGCTCTCTAAGCCACTGCACTTCTTCTTGAAGTTTAAAATAATCAGAGGGGACATTTTGCTGCTGCAGCCAGCCTTTATTATCCATGGGGCTGCTGCTGCTGCTGCTGCTGCTGCTGAGAAGATCGCTGCAGCGGCTGCTGCAGCTGCTCTGGGGGACGAAGCAGCACGAAGCTGGGAAGCAGAACTGCCGCTGCTGCTGCTGCTGCATTCGCTGCTGCATCTGCATCTGCTGCTGCTGCTGCATCTGCTGCTGCTGCTGCAGGTATCTAAGACCTCCTCCTGATTGCGTAGCATCTACAGCAGCAGGAGCACCACTACCAGCAGCACCAGCAGCAGCAGCAGCAGCAGCAGCAGCAGGTTGCTGCACCAATCCATATAGTGCGAGCTGCTGCGGATGAGCTCTTACACCAAGGCGAGAAAGTATAGGGCAGCTGCCGCTGCGTCTTTGTGAGGGTGCGATGAAAGCTACATTAGCTAGCTTATGAAGAGCAGTGCTTGGCTGCTTTAAATTCATAGCTGATATTCTTCTAAGAGAAGAAGGGGTTCCTTCTATTTCAAATACACGGCGGCCACGACTCTGCTGCTGCTGCTGCTGCTGTTGCTGCTGCTGCTGCTGCTGCGGTTGCTGCGGTTGAAGAGGAGGTGATGCGCGAATGCTGCTGTTAATGTCCGCCATGTAGGAAGACGCAGCACGAGGTAGCAGCACTTGCTGCTGCTGCTGCTGCTGCTGCAGATGCTGCAGAGGAGCGGATCTGCTAAGCTGTCTGTTTTCCAGCGGTGAGACGAAGGCACTGCGGGTGGCGCTGCTGTCTACCCTAGCAGCAGCAGGAGCTGCAGCAGCTGCTGCTGCTCCTGCTGCTTCATGCGGCAGAATCTCGCTTCGGAATTGATGAGAAGCAGGAGCAGCAGCAGGGAGAGTCTGACGCAGCATTACAGAAGCTGCACGAGGCTGCGGTACAGCTGTTGCTGCTGCAGGTATCCCAGCACGGGAACGAAAGCCTTGAAGCTGCTGCTGCAGCGGCTGTTGCTGCTGCTGCTGCTGCTGTTTGTCTGCGAGAGCAGAGTCTGCGGTGTCTACCGAGAAGCGCACAGTTCGTTGTCTATCAATGTTTGTTTGAGTTGGTACTGCTGGGTTGCCGTTGGGTGGAGGGAGGCCCGGAGGGGCCGCCATTTCGGCTTTAAATGACTCTAATGATAATTCTCAGAGAATTATAATTAAAAAAAACAAAAAAATATTTAAAAAAGAAGCAAAAATACAATAAATTTACAGTCGAACGAGCAGACGAATACCCGGCGGGAGGCGGTGAAACGAAGATGAAAGAGAGCAGAGTTGAGGAGTTTGGTAAGAAATTTTGAAATTAAAAAAAGAAAAATTGAGTAAAACAAATCAAAAGAATCATTTTAAAAAAAGAAATAAAATAAATGCAATAAATATTTATACTTTTATGTTTATACCGCAGACTTTCACCGAGACCATTCGAAACCCCCGGCCTATTATTCGGGTGTATATACAGCAGAAAGTTATTAATATGAAGTTTAACGAATCATATTTTTAATTGTTTAAATTGATTAAAATATATAATTAAATTAATTTATTTATTATTTTAAAGCAGACAAACACACACACAATCTCTTCAGCGCAGTCGCTCTCTCTAGGGCTGTGTTTCTTAGGGTTTAGGGTTTAGGGTTTAGGGTTTCGTCAGATGCCTCTCTTTTCTTGTCTTTCTTTCTTCTGCATAAAATGAATTTATTTTGAGTTTTTAATCTTCTTTTCTTCAAAAACATAATAAAAGAAAAACTAAAAAAGAAAAGGCTTCGCCTTCCTTCTTTAATAATTTTCTTCATCTTCACAACACTCTCTACATAAGAAAGTAAATGCAGCATCATAACAAATGCGTAAAGGCAGATAACTATACAAAGAAAAATAAATACAATAAAGTGAGAAACGTATATATATAAGTACATATTCATATATTTAAATATGTGTTTATATACATATATATATATATATGTAGATACATATATACATATGTTTACTTACGTATACAGATATGTGCATATTATATATATATATATATATATATATATACATATATTTACTTACGTATACAGATATGTGCATATTATATATATATATATATGTTTATTAGTTTGTTTCTTTTGTGTATTTGTTTATTTGTTTTATTATTGTTAATTTGCTTTTTGTTTGTTTTGTTTATGTGAATATTTGCATTACTATTTGTTCATTTGTTTTATTTGTTTATTATGTATTATTTATTTATTTATTTATTTTTGTTTGTTCGGTCTGTCTCCACTGGACTCTAAGCAAAACGCCCAAGTTTAGGTGTATGTACACCTGAAGGCAGTCTTCTTTGTTTTGTTTTGCTACGTCTGAGCCCTTCTTATTAATATATATCATAATTAGCAGCAGCAGAAGCAGCAAACCAAACAAAATAAAACAAAAAGAAACAGAGAAATAAATAGTAAAGACCCTCCGCACAGCAACAGGGGCACCGCATGCAAATATATTGCTGCAGTGTACAGGCAAACAAACACAAACAAACAAACGCATATTCCTTCGGTCTAGCTGCAGCAACAACAACAGCAGCAGCAGCAGCAACAGCATACCCTGCTGCTGCTGCTGATGCTCCTGCTGTTTCTTCTCTTGCCGCTGCTGCTGCTGCTCCTGTTGCTGCTGTTTCTTCTCTTGCTGCTGCTGCTATTGCTGCTGCAGCTGCTGTTGCTTTTTCTTCTTCTTCTTCTTCTTCTGCTGCTGCTGCTGCTGCTGCTGCTGCTGCTCAGTTATGGAGGTAGGCCCTGCGAATGTCTTTGGGATCGAATTGCGTTTCTGCAGCAACAAAACAAAATCAAAAAAAAACAAAAAACAAAAAATAATAGAATAAACAGAGCACCATATATCCCCCTCCCGTCGCACTACCCTGCTGTACGTACACCCAGCTAGCCAGCTAGCCAGCTAGCTAGCTAGTAGCTAGCTAGCTAGCTAGCTAGCTAGTAGTTGAGGTAGAAGGCTGCAGGCAGACGTACTGCAATGAGGACATTTGCGGTTGCGGGCCTTCACATTCTTCTCTATGCACTCTGCAAAGCATGCATACACTCCAAACCCTAAACCCTAAACCCTAAACCCTAAGCACTAAACCCTAAGTCAGCGTTGCCATCCAATCGACGTTCGCGCAAGGGGAAGCCTGTCTCGCTGCCCCCTGGAGAGAAGGCCCCAGAGAACCCTAAACCCTACACCCTAAACCCTAAACCCCAAACCCTAAACCCTAAACCCTAAACCCTAGCTTGCCTTGGCAGAACATATGGCCGCACTTAACGAGCACGTGGTCTTTGAAGCGTTCAGTGCAAACACCGCAAAGGAGTCGCCGCTGCATCGCGCACACAACCCTAAACCCTAAACCCTAAACCCTAAATCCTAAACCCTAAACCCTAAACCCTAGCTTGAGTGCAAACCCCAAACCCTAAGCCTCACGCGCATTGTTTCGTTCTCCTCCTGTAGCAAATTGTTGATAGCCAAGGAAGGATCTTCAGAGGCAGCCAGCACTGAGCACATCACCCCAAACCCTAAACCCTAAACCCTATACCCTCTAACTCCAGCCGCTAAGCCTCTCTAAACCCAGCCCGTAAACCCTAAACCCTAACCACCAAGCCCCCATTAAACCCTAGCAAACCCTAATAAATCCAAACAAGCGCTAGTAAACCCTAATAAACCCGAACAAACGCTAGTAAACCCTAATAAACCCTAATAAAAAGCTCTCTGATAAACCCTAAACCCTCACGTCTTCTTCTTTCTTGTTTTTCCTGTCTTTCTTTGAGCTTCTGCAATCTCTTTTCAGCCTCCAATCTCGCCTCTGTTTGTTTTCGCAGAGAGGCTTCCAAAGAAAATACTTTTGTTTGATGCTGCTCTATTACCCCCTCAAAAGCCTGCACAAACCCTAAACCCTAGTAAACCCTAATAAACCCTAAACCCTCATAAACCCTAAAACCTAGGCCGGACAAGCAAACCACCGAGCTGCGTCCATACGAAATTCTCAGCTTGGGAGGTTGCAAATCAGGGTTTAGTGTTTAGGGTTTAGGGTTTAGCGCTTGCGAGGGTTTAGGGTTTCGCGTTGGCGAGGGTTTAGGGTTTAGGGTTTGCACGGGATTCCTTCTCACTTTGTTCGTTTCACTTAGCAGCTGCAGCTCGCGGGCCATTTCATCATTCTGCAAAAACACCCCCCAAACCCTAAACCCTAAACCCTAAACCCTAAACCCTAAACCCTAAACCCCAGGGTTTACAGCAGCAGCTGCAGCCTCACCGTCTTAAACAATTTTTCTCTTTCCGTCCGCAGCGATTCAAAACAAACTGCTATTTCATCCCGCTGTTGATCTGCCACTGCCTGCATCAACAAACCCTAAACCCTAAACCCTAAACCCTAAACCCTAAACCCTAAACCCTAAATCCTCAGCCCTAAACCCTAAACCCTAGAGCCGCTATCCCTCAAGCACGAAAAAAAGAGATGTGAACTTCTGCGCTTCAACCTCTAAATCAGAGCCGTCAATTCTAAACTCTAAACCCTAAGGCCTAAACCCTAAACCCTAAACCCTAAACCCTCACCGCTCTGTGCTGGGCTTGCTGTAGGGCCTCTGAGAAAGCCCTTGTCTTTGCCGTTAACTTATCCACATGCTGCTTCTCTAGCTGCAGCTTCTGCTCCTGCAAGCAACCAATGCGCTGCAGCAGCAGCTGCTGCTGCTGCGCTGCTTCTGCGGCTGCCTTCTGCTGCTGCACCGCCTCCTCCCTGAGCAGCAGCAGCAACAACAGCAGCAAAACGCGCATCAACAGCTACACCAAACACACCTATCCACAGTTGCCGTCTTGCAGCAGCAGCAGCAACAGCAACAGCAGCAACAGCAACAGCAGCAACAGCAGTAGCACCAGCAGCAGCAGCAGCAGCTGCTGCTGCTGCATGCGCTGCTGCTGCAAGCCGCACCTTTCTCTGAGTTGCCTTAGCAGATTTTCGCAGTATGTTTGTCTCTCTTCAAACGCCTTAGACACCTCCTCCAGCTCCTCCGTCACGTGAGAGTATTGCTGCAGCAGCAACAGCAGCAGCAACAGCAGCAGCAGCAAGAGCCACAGCAGCAAGGAGTTTCGTCGCTTCCTCTTCGCTGTTGTTTTGTCGTGTTGCCTCCCACTCCATTTTCTCTGCTTCGTTTGTGCTGCTGCTGCTGCTGCTGCTGCTACTGCTGCTGCTGCTGCTGCTGCTGCTGCTGCTCTGTTCTGACCCCCAGGCAGGCATTATACTGCCCAAATACAACAGATAAAATAAATAAAACGAACAAAGCAAATAAACAAAAACACAAAAACCCTCAGATCTGTCTCTTCTCTCACCTGCCGCAGCTCCGCTACCTCCGCCTCCAATCCCTGCTGCTCTTCTAGTCGCCTCTGCAGCGCCTGCAGCAGCAGCAGCAGCAGAAGCAGCAGCAGCAGAAGCAGCAGCAGCAGAAGCAGCAGAAGCAAGAAGAGGAATGAAGAACAAAAGCAAACACCATATGCAGCTGGTTGCTGCTGCTGCTCCTGCTGCTGCGTGTGCTGCCTCTGCCGTTGCTGCATCTGCTGCTGCTGCTCCATCTGCTGCTGCTGCTGCTGCTGCTGCTGCAGAGATATAAGAAGCATACCCGAAGTTCGACGTGCAGCAGCGAATCTTCTGATGAAGCTGCAGCACCAACAGCTTTTGACTCCTCATCCTTCATACCGTCTTTTGCTGCTGCTGCTGCTGCTGTTGCTGCTGCAGCTTCTGGGTTTTCTCCTGCTTGTCTTGCTCCTGCTGCGTCTTCTTTTGCTGCTGTTGTGTCTTCTTTTGCTGCTGTTGAATCTCCTTTTGCTGCTACTGCTGATGTATCTGCTGCTGCTGCATCTCCTGCTACGGGCGCTGCTGCTGCAGCTGCTGCTGCTGCTGCCGGGGTATCTGCTGCTGCTCCTGCAGCAGCAGCAGCAGCAGCGCCATCCCCGTGTACTGACGCCTTTAAGCGCAGCCAATTCGCCTCCTGCAGCAAAAAGCAATACTCAGACGCGAATAAGACAGCAGCAGCAGCAGCAGCAGCAGACGCAGCAACAAAGCAGCAGAAGCAGCAACACGGGCAGCAACTGCAGCAGCAACTGCAGCATCAACAGCAACAGACAAAGCAATTAAAACAGCAGCATCAGCAGCAACGGCAACAGCAGCAACAGCAACGGCAGCAGCAACAGCAGCAGCAGCAGCGAGTCGACATACAGAGAGCTTCAAAGCCTCAATTATCCTCTGCTTTTCTGCCTTCAGCCGTTCATTCCTCACTGCAGCAAATGCGCAGCAGCAACAGCAGCAGCACAAATGTACAGCATGCAGCAGCAGCAGCAGCAACTAGAAGCACAAGCATCAGCAGCGCCGCAGTCAGCAACAGCCCGGGCCGCAGAACCAGCAGCAGCAGCAAAAGCATCAGCAGCAGCAAACGCAGCAGCAAACTCAGCAACATCAACGGCACCAGCAACCCCAGCAGCAGCACCAGCAGCAGCAACAGCAGCATCAGCACCAGCAGCAGCACCACCAGCAGCACCAGCAGCACCAGCAGCACCAGCAGCACCAGCAGCAGCAGCAGCAGGGGGCTACTACGTACATAGAACTTGATTGCTTGCGTTCTTGAGTTGATTAAATTGCATTTTTAGCTGCATTTGCTGCACCGCTCTCAGAGAGGCAGCAGACTCAAACTCTTCTTGTAGTTGTCGCGAAGCAGCTAGCTGCTCCCGCACTTGTTGCAGCTGCAGCAGCATATAAATATATAAATATATAAATAGATATATAAATATATAATTATATATGTGTAAATGTACTAGTGTGCAAATGAGAAGAAGAGGAGAGCAAAGAAATAAACAAATGCAGCAGCACAGCAAACAAGAAACCCTAAACCCTAAACCCTAAACCCTAAACCCTAAACCCTAAAGACAAATCGTGAGGCGCACAAAGCACTCTGAAACAAGCAGCATTTATGCTGCTTGTTTCAGCTGTATGCTCTAGGGTTTAGGGTTTAGGGTTTAGGGTTTATAAATACATACACCGACGAAAAAAATAAATAAATAATAACATACCTCTTGAGCAGCAGCATTTCTAGCAGCTTTAAGCGAATGGTTCTCCTCTAAGAGAGAAGACAGCCGCGCAGACAGCTGCTCCCGTGCCTCCGTTTGCTTCCGCTGCACGCAACCCCAAACCCTAAACCCTAAACCCTAAACCCTAAACCCTAGTAGGTGGGTTCTCAAGAGACTCGCTGCACTACCCCTTAGATGTACTGCGCATGCAAAACAACAACACGCGCCCTATGATTAGGGTTTAGGGTTTAGGGCTACGAAGCCACATGAACAAATAAATACAGGGTTTAGGGTTTAGGGTTTAGGGTTTAGGGTTTACAGCCAACTCCTCAAATGCTGTGTCTGCCTTCGTCTGCTCCTCAAGCAGCTCCCGACGCAACTCCTCCACTTCAGCAGTCTTCGCCGCCTTCAATCGCAAACCACAAACCCTAAACCCTAAACCCTAAACCCTAAACCCTCATCCCTAATCCCTAGACCCTAAACCCTAAACCCTAAACCCTAAACCCTAAACCCTAGTTTCTAAAGCCCAAAGCCCAAGCCCTACATTCGTTCTCCGTGCATTTGTTCGTGTTAACCCCAAACCCTAAACCCTAAACCCTAAACCCTAAACCCTAAACCCTAAACCCTGGCTTACCAGTTGCGCATCCCTTTGGGAGCAGAGTTGCTGCAACTCAACAAACGGAGGGCTTCTCATAATTTGCATGCGTTTGAGGGTTTCGATTGCTGCTGCTTCATTCACTGTCTTACGCAGCTTCTGCTGCTCCTCCAGCAGCTGCTGCAGCTGCTCCTCCTTCTGCTGCAGCTGCACACGAAGCACTGCAGCAGCAGCAGCAGACTCGTCGTCGCTCGCCATCAATTCCTCCCGCTGCTGCTGCTGCTGCTGCTGCTGATCGGCGCGCGCGGCCTCAGAAGCCGCAGGAGTTGCGGTGGGTGACGCCTTTGCTGCAGCAGCAGCAGCAGCAGCAGCATCTGCTGCTGGTGTTTGCTGCTGCTGCTGCTGCTGCTGAGTTGCTGCTGCATCTGTAGGTTCGGCCTCATCAGAGATCTCTTCACCTCGAATTGCTGCTGTAAGCAAAGCAGCAGCAGCAGGAGCCCCTGCTGTCGCCCGCAGCAGCACTTGCTGCTTCTTTAGGCGAGATACTTCAAGGTCTGCTGCTGCTGCTGCTGCTGCTGCTTGCTGCTGCTGCTGCTGCAGCAAATGATTTCTCGTCCTCCACCGTCCAGCGCGCACCCGCAAGCGCCGCACAGCTGCCTGCAGCGCCAGGCATCTGGGGCACATACCTGCTGCTGCTGCTGCTGCTGCTGCTGCTGCTGCTGCAGTCTCGGGCTTCGCAGAAGCAACACCCGAGGGAGAAGACGAAGCAGATGTTGCTGCTGCTGCTGTTGCTTTGCTGCTGTCTTCGCAGTTCTCTCCCTCAGTAGCGGGTTGCGTCTTGCTGTCAGCAGCATCGCCAGCAGCAGCAGCAGCAGCAGGTGCTGATGCAGCACCTGCTGCCTCTGTCTTGCATGCGCTTGAAGCTACTGCTAAGGGGCCCCCAGAAGATAACGAGAGTTGCTGCAGCAGAACCTGCTGCAGCAACTCAACAGACCATTGCCTACACCCCAGCAGCCGCTGCTTCACCTGCTGCAGCTCGCTTGAAATCTCGCTGCTGCTGCTGCTGCTGCTGCTGCTGCAGGTGCCGTTAGGTAGAGATACGCCAGCAGCAGAGGCGCCGCTCAGCAAAGCAGAGAAGGCATCATCTTCGTCCTCTGAACTCACCGCATCTGCTTTGTTGTTGCTGCTGCTGCTGCTGCTGCTGTTGCTGCTGCTGCTGCTGCTGCTGCTGCCCGCAGGCACGCCGTCGTCGAAGAGGCACAAACCTGCGCATACACCCCAACGCCTGCTGCAACAGCATGCGCTTTGTTGCTGTTCACGCAGCAGCAGCAGCAACAACAGCAACAGCAGCAGCACGAGAAGTAGCAGAAGCAACAGCAGCAACACCAGCTGAAGCAACAGCAGCAGCAGCAGCAGCAACGTCTTTTTAATCACCTGGCCGCTGAAGCAGCGCCTTCAGGCTGCTCTGCAGCTGCTGCTGCTGCTGCTGCTGCTGCTGTTCTTGCTTCTGCGCTAGCAGCAGCAGCATGTCTGCGTTTAGAGCCGCCCAGGCATCTGCAACAGCAGCAGCGCATTTAGTTGCCTCTGCTGCTTGCTGCTGCTGCTGCTGCTGCTGTCTTTTTAATATATTCAGCTGTCTACGATATTCGTGGAGGGCCCCCCGCTGCTGCACCACCAGCCGAGCGAGAAGCCCCTCATCCTGCATGCAAAAGAACGCATAGTTCGGGTGTATGTACACCTCAAACCCTAAACCCTAAACCCTAAACCCTAACCCCTAAACCCTCGGTCCTTGGTCGAGTTCGTCTGACCCTGGCGATTCGGTTGCCTGCCACCCAGGTGAAGAACAAACTTAACCCTAAACCCTAAACCCTAAACCCTAAACCCTTAACCCTAAACCCTAAACCCTAAACCCTACCTCTAGGGGGAGCTTCTCTCTGCATTCGTCTGAGTCGTCTTGGGGTTTGCGTTTGCGTTTTGCCTGCGAGGCGGCTGGGGTAAGCGCCATGGCTGAATTCCATACCTCCGAGCCTAAACCCTAAACCCTAAACCCTAAACCCTAAACCCTAAACCACAAACCCTAAACCCCAGAGGCAGAAGCCTGGGGGCCCTTCGATATGCAAGGCAACCTCTCATTCCCAAGTCTTCGCTCACAGGCTGTTCAAGAGAAACCTCAACAAACCCTAAACCCTAAACCCTAAACCCTAAACCCTAAACCCTAAACCCTAATCATCGAAGACCCAAACAGCATACCAAGCTGCCTTATCTTCTTCTTTCCTCTAACCAGCCCCAAAGCTGGCGTGTTGTTTGCATGCGTTTGTTGTGTTTGTTTGTTAACAAATGAATATTAATATTTTTTATTTTTTAATTGTATTTTTCTTTTATTTCTGTCTAATTAACATAAATTATATGCATTATTTATCGCATCCGGCTGCATGCAGCAGCAGACTCCACTGGGGTTTGCTGCTGCAGTGCCTCGACGGATATCAGCAGCAAAAAGACGTTCTTTTTTAATTAATATTTATTATTGAGATTAAATAAATAAATAATTATATATTTTCGTCCTTTGCATGCATCAACAACGCCTTACTTAGCTTCCTCTGCATGCGCTGCTGCTGCGCATTCTTGCCTTGCAGCTGCAGCAACTGCAACAGCAGCAGCAGCAGCAGCAGCAGCAGCAGCAGTAAGCAAAGCTGCAACAGCAGCAGCTGCTGCAGCAATTTAAAGCATAAGCTGCTGTCTCTCCTTCTGTCTCCTCTCTACCCTCTCATTAGTCGCACCTCTTTGTATTAAAGAGCAGCGAGAGTTTGAGTTATATTATTATTAATAGAAAAGCTTTTACTTAAGAATTATGTTTATTAGTGTAAATACTAATTATTAAATATATTCACAGCAAATCTTTTAGCTGCTGCAGTATGCTGCAGCATAAGACTAAGCATGCATGCATGCATGCATAATATAATATAATAATAATATATTTCTTTCTGGGGTTTGTTGGGGCTTATTCAAACAAAACAGACAAAAGTAGAAAACTTTCTTTATTCATTTGCTTAGTGAGAAGCAGTTGAGGTGTATATGCAACTTCAACAGAGACATCGATCTTAGCTGACGGTCTCTATAAGCTGCAAAAATATATATATATATATATTTAAATATATATACATAAATATATTAATTAGTAGCTTTGTCTTCTCCTCTAACTGGAGGCGCAGCAGCACCACAGCCTGTAGTTGCAGCAGAGCAGAATATAACTGTCTCTTAGAGACTGTAAAACTTCTTGCTGCTGCTGCGGCTGCTGCAGCAGCTGCAGCAGCAGCAGCAGCAGCAGATAATTGAGCCTGCAGTATACCCTCAACCTTCTGCTTATTATGCTATAATATAATAGTTAGTTATTTATTACTTCTTTAGCCAGCCCTCTGCATACAGCCCGAATGCATGCATATAATTGCATGCATGCATGCATGCACTAATTCTAATTCTAATATTAATTTCATATCCCTCTTCTTCTTCTTCAGACTCTATGCATGCAGTCGTGAGCTCTATTTTCTAACAATAAAAGAGAAGAAGGCTCCCAAAGACATTACTAATTATAATTACTAATATAATAATTTATGCAAAGACAAACAATACAAGCGGAGAAGCGAGTTAAAGCTGCTAATAAAGCTTATCATGCTTGCTGCTGCTGCTGCTCTTATTGTTGTTATTGCTGCTGCTGCTGCTGTTGTTGCTGCTGCTGCTGCTGCTGCTGCTGGGCATTGCTGTGCAGTGAGCGTTTCGCAACTTAAACAAAAAAAGTGCAGCAACTCGCTGCACTTCTTTGCTTAAATTAAAACAACTAAGAAAGAAAGAGAGATATATATTTAGGGATAGATATATATATATATAGATAGAGAGAGAGAGACAGAAATAGATATAGAGATAGATAGATAAATGGATAGATAGATAGATATGTAAAGATAGATATAAAGATAGAGAGATAGAGACAGAGATAAAGATAGACAGAGACAGATATTGATAGAGGGAGAGAGACAGAGAAAGAGAAAGAGAGAAGGAGAGCCTCTAATTAATTAATTAATTAATTAATTAATTAATTAATTAATTAGAAAAGTGATGAAGAAGAGGTAATGAATTGTAGAAAGAAAAGGCTTCTCTAAACGCATGCATAGCAGCAGAGAGTAAATATGAAAGTTTATTTAAGCTGCTCTGTGCATGCAGATTATTGCTGCCATCAATATAATAAAATAAATAGGAGGAGAGGTGTATATACACCTCTCTCCTCATAAGGGGTCCTCATAACTTAATATTATATATATTATATTACATTATATATTATATTATATAGTATTATATATTATATAATATAATGAGAATTTAAAAGAATATATTTTTCTTCGTTTTACTGCATGCAGCTCTCTCTCTCTCCCTGCGTTTTAAAAAAAATGCTGCTATTACTTTAACTCTCCGACTGTGAGTGCTGCTGTCTGCAGCAACAGCAGCAGCAGCAGCAGCAGAAGCAGCAGCAGCAGCAGCAGAAGTAGCAGCAGCAGCAGCTATCTATTAAAGCTCATAAAGTAGTAGACTTCTTAAGAGAAGTTCATGGGTTAAAAGAAGAAAATAATGAAGAATAATATTTTAATTGCATTACTTTGTCGTCAGTTTGAGGTGTATAGTACAGCACCTACAATTATTTATTTTTTGTTTGTTTGTTTGTTTGCTTCTAACGCTTCTTCTTTCTTTACAATGCCCAATACTCTATAAAAACAAATATAAAAGAAAGAAGATTATAAGAAAACCCTCTTCTTTGTCTTTAACCCTCTCTAATCTTCTTTAAACAAACTCTCTTCGAACTCCTGCAAACATTTTAATTAAGCGGGGCTGAGATATTAATTAATTTTCAGAAAAAATATCTTACGAGTCTTTGTTATAAACATATATATATGTTTATATATATATATATATATGTTTATATATATATATATATATATATAATGTATATATAGTATATATACATAAAGAAAAACAGAGGTATGTTGAAATGCACTCACTCTGTTCGGCTGTATATACAAAGCAGAGACTTCGCATGCATGTACATGCAAGTAAGCATGCATGCAAGTAAGTATGCATGTGCATACTTGCATGCATGCAAGTAAGCATGCATGCAAGTGTGCATTCATGCATGCATGCAAGTATGCATGCATGCATGTGCATGCAAATAAGCATGCATGCATGCATGCATGTGCATGCAAATGAGCATGCATGCGAATACCTAAAGAATCAGTAATAATATCTGGAATAATTCCAGAATTAGAATAAGGTAAATGCTCATGCATGTGCATGCAAATGAGCATGCATGCATGCTTGCATATATCATGAAGCAGATTTAGTTTGTTGGTTTAGGCGGCTTTAGTTATTTTCTCTTCGTCTTTTCTTTGAGCATGTTCTTGTAGAGTTCTGCAGACAAAAAATAAAGATGCAGTTGCTATATATATTTTATACATTTGACATTATATCTCTTCTTTATTTATTTATTTATTTGTTTATCTTTTATTTGTTTATTTGTCTATACAGGTTTAGTGTGTACACCTGCAAACGGGTGTATACGCAGCTGCAAATTGTCTGTGAAAGTGCTGTCAATGCAGAATAACAAAGATAATTCGAAATAATAATAATAATAATAATAATAATAATAATAATAATAATAATAATAATAATAATAATAGCAATGATGATAATAATAGGAATAACAATAACAATAATAATAACAATAAAAGTAGCGACAACAACAACAACAACAAAAATAATAATAATACAGCATGAAGGTTTTTACTTGTTTTATTGCTGCACTATATATATATATATATGTATATTTATGTATATGTTTATCTATTTATTATATATATATATATATATTGAGGTGTACATACAGCTGAGATATCAAACGCACCGCGGGAGTTTCCATACAGGTTTTTTTTCTTCTATTGTTTTTGCTTCTATTTGTAAAGACGCATTAAATGTTTTTAATTGATTTAATATTTGTTTTGTTAATTCTTCAGGTGTAGAAGCAGACGCAGAGACAGCTACACGCTTGACGCCGACTAACCATTGAGGGTTTATATCCTCCGTTTTAGAAACTAAGTAAGCCCTGAAAAAACAGAAAAAGCAATTAAAAAAAATATTAATATATATAAATGTGCAAATACTTAAAGACATCAACATATTTGTATAGATGCACATATATACTAATAAAAATATGTATCTGAATGTGCGTAAATATATTTATATATATATTGTATGCATATCATATAAATAAATATATAAATATATATAATTATTTAAAATATATATTGTAATTGAACAAACAAAAAACGACACAAACAAATGAGGACGCAGAGCTACGAACTCTGCAACAAACAAAAACAAAAAAAGATGCAAGGACATACACTCGAAATAAACACAAACAAACGCAATAAGCAAAAACCACAGAAGCGTTAAAGAAGCAAACAAATGCAAGAAAAAAATAAAAACATTCGCAGACAGAGGAAGAAGATGTTTTGTGATAATTTAGGTGTCAATATACTGCATTTATTTTTGTTGTATTTCTCTTTAAAAGCAACATTATATTAAACAAGGATTTATTTGTTTATTTATTTATTTATAACTCCAGGAACAGAAAATAATTAGAAGCACTTGCAGCGGACCCACGTGCATGCAAACTACACAAACAAAACATAAAAACAAAGGCACCCTCTAGCTGCAGATACAGCTAGAGATAAAGAAAAAGAAGCAAGAAAACAAAAGCAGCAACAGCAAAAGAAACAGAAACAAAGAAAACGAAATAGCGAAAAAGAAATAAAGGAAAGGAAATTAAGAAAGAAAGAAGTGAAGAAAAAGAAATAAAGAATAACTGATCAGCCAAAAGAAGAAAGGCAAATGCACTAAAGTAAACAGAAAAAAATAAATAAAGTACAAATGCAAGCATTACTGACGCCGCGATGGAAAGACTGTGAA